GTGAATTAATCAGCCACTTCAAATCTCCATTTCCATAGATACAAATGCCATGTACATAGTGCCCTGCAAAGGAGAGAATAAAAAGTACAGTTAAAACAGGCATGTTTTCAAAAATCACATTCACCACCTAACTACAGAGTAGCTAAAACTGTGCCAAGTGCTATGAAATTCAAAGAAAAGATATTTGTATAGTTCCAGCCCATAGGGAGCTTAAACTCTACTTAGAAGGACAGGAGGTACAAATATGTATTTGAAAAAGAGAGTTCAATCATACAAGGCAATCATGTCACAGGTGTCACAAGGCAGTTCATGGATTCGGGTGAGCAGTTTCACAAGTGTACAGAGACGGGAGAGGTCATTACGGGTTGTGCTGGTTCAGCCTCTTCCCAACTCTGGGCTAGTCTACCAAGTGCCTACTTCGTATGTCCGCTCAGACGTGTCATAAACCTCACGGACACCTGTCGGCACTGAACTTCTTCATCCTCTCCCTTCACACCTGCTCCTCGCCAAGGGTCCCTCACTGTAGTCCATGGTAATTCTGTTCTTCAGTGTCCCGGCCACTTCACCCTCTTTCTCTCATACCCCACCATTCAATCTATCAGCAATTCTGTCAGCTCTACTTTCAAAATATTAATAGAATTTGACCACTTCTCACCACCTCTGCTACTATCACCTTGGTCCAAACCACCTCCAGCTGCCTGTCTGAATTGCAACAATAACTGGTCTTTTTACTGACACTTTTCCCTGTTAGTATATTCCCAGCACGACAGCCAGAGAAATTGTTTTAAAGTGTAAGTAGAACATGCTTCCTCTGCCCCCAACCCTAACAATGGCACTCAAGACTCCCAAGTCTGGTCCTTCATCCCCTTGCTGGGCTCACCTCCCACCCTCTGACCCTTGCTCGTTCACCTTGGCCTCACTGGCCCCCTTGCTAGTCCCAAGCACACCACGCACGCTCGTCCTGAGAACCTGCATTCGCTCTCCTACCCGGGACTGCCCTTCCACCAGACGTCTGCAAGGCTCCCTTCTGCACAAGCTGCGGTCTCTGCTTCAAGGCCCCTTCTCAGGTAAGCCTTCCCTGACCGCCTTTCTCCCTTCCCCGACTCATTTCCATCTTGGCACTTATTACCAACTGATCAGTGCCGAGACGGAAAATAGTATTGTGTTTATTGTCTCTTTTTCTGACAATCGTTTATTGTCTTCCTCCCCAGACTAGACTAGAAGCTCCAGAAGAGCTGGGCTCTCAGAACATTTTGTCCACTCCTGTGTTCTCTGCACCTGCAACAATGCCTGGGAAATATCTGGTGTTAAATTAATAGTGGTTGACTAAAAGGATGGAGAAAGATGAGTGGAGAGTTAGTGGATGGGTGGAGCTGGGGAGCATCAGGAGGGACCGTGGTTTCACACAGACTGGAGGAAATGCCTCTGGGAAAACTGTAGGGGTGAGAATTTTCTGCTACCATCGGGAGTTCCGCTGGGAATGGGTTAGAAACAAGAATGGTAGGAAGTCGTAATTATTTTCCAGAGGTTCTTCTTGGCACATAGAACAGCTACTGGTTAACTGACTTGACAAAGTAGAGGGTTAGGCCTTTTATCCCATAAGAATAGAGAGTCCTTGAAGACTTCTGAATGGAAGAATCAAATGATGAAAGCCATATTAGCAAACTTAATTTTGCGGTG